CAAAATAAATAAATAACATTTTAAAAAAAAAAAAAAAAGCAAGGAGCTTTAATCCCAAATAATCAATGTGCCACTTTGGTATATTTTGGGGTGGCTTGCCCTGGGTCCCTTGCGAACAACGTGGTGGTGAGTGGGGGGTGGGTTCCATAGTTGAAGAGGATTAAGAGGCTCAAACTTCCAGCTATAAAATACTTGACAATTTCATAGGGGCAAAAAGTACAGCGTAGGAAATATGGTCATTAGTATCTTGCTGATGTTGCGTGGCGACAGGTGACAACTACGCTTATCACAGTGACCATGTTGAAATGTATAGAATTGCGGAATCACAAGGTTGTACACACGAAAACAACCCAATAGTATTGTCAACCATACTTCCAAAGAAAAGCACAACTGCAGCAAGAGAGGGCTTTGGTCTCATGGGACTCTGCTGCGGGTGGTGGGGTGCCTTTTCTCCTCAGCCAGGGCTGGAGGCCAAGATCAGCTCTTGAGCATGACTGTCAGGGCTGTCACGAGTCGAACAGCCTTGTTTTCCTCCGTGAGACTTTTGTGGCTGTTGGGAGGCCCTTGGTGTTACGAGACTCGGCCGTCGGCACCAGCACGGGGCTTGGGATTTGGGACTTTCCTTAGATACCACCAGGCTCTCGTGCTGATCCTGGGCTAGGTTGCCCCAAAAGTAGCTGGGCCCCCCGCCTGCTGCACAGGCGAGGATGTGTGCCCTTGCAACATGCAGTCACCACCACCAAGAGGTCAGTGAACGAGGGGGGGCCTCTCCGCTCCTGCCGTCCCACTGCTTTGGTCCGCCGAGTAGATGTTACCTGGAAGAGAGGAGTCCAGAAATGGTGACACCTGTTGTGGAAGGGGCATTTGAGGCCACCTAACCGAGGAGGAGGAAACACGCCGTTTCTCCTTGCCTGGATGAACTTGGGGGCCAGTCTGGCAGCCCCAGCTCTCTGTCCACAGCTGTGCGTCTTGGGCAGGGGCCAGTGCAGGTGTGCTGGGCCCAGGGCGGTGAGCAAAACCTGGGAGGAGGTCCTGGGGGAGAAGGAACACTGCAGGCCTCAGGGCAAGGAACTCAGACCTGACTGCACTGGTGGCAAGCACAGAGCCTGCTGCTGCTGCTGCTTCTCCTTCTTCTTCCCCTTCCTCCTCCTCTTCCTCCTCCTCCTCCTCCTCTTCTTCTTCTTCTTCTTTTAATATTTAATGTTTATTTATTTTTGAGAGAAAGAGAGAGCAAGCGAGCATGAGGGAGAGAGGAGCATTTTTTAAATGTTTTTTATTTATTTCTGAGAGAGAGGGACAGCGTGAGCAGGGGAGGGTCAGAGAGAGAGGGAGATACAGAATCTGAAACAGGCTCCAGGCTCTGAGCTGTCAGCACAGAGCCTGATGCGCGGCTGGAACTCACAAACCGCGGGATCATGACCTGAGCCGAAGTCTGATGCTCAACCGACGGAGCCCCACAGGCGCCTCAAGAAAGCATGCTTCTAAACAGTTAGCTGCATCCAGTGCGGGAGCTCTAGATCCACGCATTTGTGGGCTACACCGTGCTTGCCTGAGGTTAGATTAGTGCCTGGGCACTAAGCTCTGGCATGCTTTCTGCATTGAAGTGACTACTTCAGCAGTTGACAAAATAGTGTGTTAGAAAGTTTTAAGAAGTTCTAAAAGTATTTTCTACGGTAAGAGAAGTGCTGAGAGCATCTTATTTTGTTCTAAAAGCAAGAAACTAGTCTCTGTGGGGGGAAAAAGGAAAAACACAGCGACTGCAGGAGGCCCAGGCCCTTGGACTTTGTGCTGTGCCCTCCCCATCAGTCTCAGCTTCGCTAAACGCACATTCGTTGCTCATCTGTTGTGTTCTGTGTGTGAATTATTCCCCAACTCCAGTGCCAAAATAGTCATCCTTAGGCCAACGCACCTTAGGAGGGAAAGCCTCTTCTATAGTTGCTATCAGACCCCGAACATTGACCTCAATCTGAACCACTTCCTGGTCATTCTTAGCAGGGTCTGGAAGAAATTCTGGTTCTCTCCTTACTCTGTGGGGAACGGCAGCCTTACCAGGGGGCTTTCTGGCTTGGCTGTTAACTACAGTATAATCATGGGTGTGAAGAACACCCCTTAGCAGCTAACCACAGTCCTTGTGAGTGAGGTTGTGAAAGGCCACTAATATTTCCAATATTTTTTAAAACATAGGAAATGCATGGGGCTCCTGGGTGACTCAGTCAGTTAAGCGTCCACACACCTTCTTTATACATTCATCCATCAATGGACACTTGGGCTCTTTCCATACCTAAAGATTTTATTTATTTTTCTTTTTTTTTTTTGAGAGAGAGAGATAGAGACAGCATGAGCAGGGCAGGGTCAGAGAGAGAGGGAGACACAGAATCCGAAGCAGGCTCCAGGCTCTGAGCTAGCTGTCAGCACAGAGCCCGATGCGGGGCTCGAACCCACGAACCGTGAGATCATGACCTGAGCTGAAGTTGGACGCTTAACTGACTGAGCCACCCAGGCACCCCCCTAAAGATTTTATTTTTAAATAAACTCTATGCCCAACGTGGGGCTCAAACTTAACAAACCTGAGATCAAGAGTCCACGCCTCTACCAAATGAGCCAGCCAGGTGCCTCATACATGTCACTCTTGAGACTGAGGAAAAGTATTTCTTTGGGGAAGGCCGCAAAGACATTCTACCCATGCTTCAAGAGTCAGCTTAAAGTCTACCTCTACCGACTGTGGTTCCATATTAGTACTGAATGTAAATTCTACCTTCTTTGAACTTCCATATATTGCTTTGTTACTTATGTGTGATATTTGCCTTGTTCTAGATTATATGTGATTTAAACTCATGTATTTTCTTTCTTTCCATGACGTGCTTGCATTTTTGGTGTTGGTTTTTAGTACATGGACACTGATTTATACAATTAACACAACCTGGTGTGCAAACACACACACACAATAGAGAGAAAAAGAGAGAGGGAGGGAGGAAGAGAGAGAGAAGGAAAGAGGAAGAAGGAAGGATGAAAAGGAAGGAAGGAGGAGGGAGAAAAAACATGGAGGGAGAGGAGAGAGATAGGGAGGGAAGGAGAGAGTGGGAAGAGGAAGAAGAATGAAGGAAGTAGGGAAGATGGAGGGGGTAGGAGGAAGAAGAAACAGAGTGGGAGGAGGGAGAGAAGGAGGCAGGACAGAAGACGATGGGAGAGAAGAAGGGAGGGATGTAGAGAGGGAAGAAGGAATCTAGGGAGGAATGAACAGATGAAGGGAGAAGGGAGGGAGGGAAGGAGAGGGAGAGAGAGAAGGGAGGAGAGAGAAGGAAATATTTTTCCATACGTCATTCTGACTTCATAAGAATTCTGTGAGGTGACTATCATTAGTTTAGTAAACAGTGGTAGTAATAGGAAGAGTTGCCTTGTTTCCAGATTGGGAGACGGAGGCACAGAGACAGGAAGGGTCGCCCATGTCATGTAGTGAGAATATACCATAGAAGCAGAAGAACACGGCTGTGCCCTGAAACCAGAGGCGTGCGCTCCGAGTCCAGAACCTGCTCACTTTACTCAATTCCCTGGTCTTTCGTAGAATATTTGTTAAGGTGGAAGGGGTGGTGAGGAGCACTATCCCCACTCCAGCTGGTGACAGGTACACACATTGCTGTGCTGCACCTACACACACAGAATCTTACATCTCAGTTGCAGGGGACACCTAATGCACTTGGTGGACAACTGTAGCCTCCAAATAGGCACTCTGGCTCTCGACATTGAATCTCAAACCCAGGAACGGCAAGGAACTGAACCAAGAGCCAGCGGAGATTCCCCTCCAGAAAACTCATCCTAAAACCCTGTTGTCATGAGTTTCGCTTCCCCAAACGTAAAGGCTTCCATCATTCCAAATGCACATAGTCTAACACCTTCCTTGAGTTCAAACACGAGAGAATAGCTCAACTTAGTTCTCCGCAGACTCCTCTCTAGCTCCCCTTCCAGGCCACACTCCACAGCCACCCTGGCTGTGTCCGAGTTCCCTGAGATCAGCTCTATACTTCCTCCTTCCTGGGGTTGCTCATAATGCCCTCTCTGTATTTCTTTGTTTGTATGTTTGTTTATGAATTTAGAGAGCATGCATGCATGAGTGGGGTAGGGGCAGAGAGCAGGAGAGAGAGAATCCCAAGCAGGACCCAAGCTGAGCTGGAGCCCCATACGGGGCTTGGTCTCCCAACCATGAGATCATGACCTGAGCCTGTATCGAGTCCGTCGCTTAGAGTCCGCCCAAGCGCCCCTTCTACTCCCACCTTTAACTGGAGTTCCGTGCACTGCCTGTTAGCATTTACCAACCTTTGGCTCACTCTGAGGTGTAAAGGAAACCCCACTACTCCCAAAAAGCCAACTCTGCTTCCACCATGGGCTGCTAGAACAGTCTTCAGAGTTTGGATGCTGGCCCACTTCCACCAAGCTGTGTAACCTTGGGAAAGTCACCAAACCTCTCCAGGCCTCCACTGTCTTGGTTAAGAAAGAAATAGTGAGGCCTCCCACCACTCTCCCCAGACTCGGCCCCCTGGACAGTGCAACGCTCATCAGCCGGGCCCTGATGCACAGCGAGCACCCACAGGAGGTCACCAGCAGGAGCAAGCACAGCCCCGTTTACTCGACAGGCTCGCACGTCCACCCAGGAGCAGGGGTCAGGCTCCATGTCTGGCACCTTCAATCACAGTGAGGGTCCGAGTACAGCCTGAACCCATGCAGCCCTGACAACTTATGCCCAGCATCAGCTGCGGTCCTCTGAGCCCATCCGCTGGGCCTGGCCTCTATTACTGTGTGTAAATTTCACAGCCCAGGAGAGAGGGTACCATGGTGGTCCCCATTCTACAGAAGCGGCACGGGAGGTGCGGGGATGTCACGGATTCACCTGGGCCACAGAGCAATTCAGTGGGGGTGCGGCGCCATCATTTTTGGTTTCTTTCTCTCACGGGGGCTGATCCCTCTGCTCAGACTGGGAGAACCCAGGCCATAACGGCTGAGGCTGGACTGGAGACACTGCCCACACTACGTGGCATAGGGCCCTGTAAACACGGCAGCCCACGAGGTTTAGTGACCCGCGCCTAGGTGGGTGCACAAAGACGTGTAGCGGGGGGCCCGGCCGGCTCAGTTGGGGGAGCGTGTGACTCTTGATCTCAGGGTCATGGATTGGAGCCCCACGGTTGGGTGTAGAGATCACTGAAAAAAAGAGTTAACAAAACAAAACCCCCAAGTGACATGGAGACCTGATGGTCACAAGAAAACCTTCTGTCCTCATGGTCAACTGCCAGAGAATAACCAGCACCCTCTTCTCTCACGGACCCTTGTGAATGAAGAAACACAAACTTGAAATCAGAGATGCAAGACTACGCGGTGCAGCCACCGGAAATATTTCATCGTTGTCATCACAATCACTCCCGCAAGCACCCTGGTGAGGGAGCAGCTACTGCTGTCCTCATGATACAGATGAGGACACCTGGGCGACGTGAGAAGAAGCAACTCAACAGGTTAGCCAGCCAGCGGGGGCTGAGGAGGCCGGGATACAGACCCCGGCT